GTTATGTTCAAAGTTCAAAGTCGTAAATAACGAAATCTGAGACATCGTTTATTTCTTTCTTTTGGGTTAGAAATTTATTACAACTGATTTCAATGGCATTTCTTTATATTTCTCGGCTAATTCATTTCCAGCAAAGTTGTAAATCGGTTTTAGCTTGAAAAATTCTGCGTCTGCTCATGTCCAAATTTACCTATTATTTTCAATCCTGGAAACCCGACAGATTAAAAGATTATAATGTAGGATTTGTGTAAAAAGCTTTGAATATAGTATATAATCAAAGGTAAAAAGTACGCCACATGGACGAATTAATTTTTCAATCATTTACGGCACCAGTTATTTAATTTATAAGCTTTGAATATAAGTATCCCATTTTCTGAATTTCTATATTTATTTCGTTTTCCTGAAAATTTAGAATGCACATCTAAAATCAAATAAAAATAAGTACACTCCTTTCAACATTATACATTATAGCATTGTCCAATTAGGTGCCTAGTTCAGCGGAGGTTACACACTGCACTCGTATTACTCAGATATACATACTCACTTACCTACCTCCGAGATAAAAATCACAATGAGGCATCGTATTTTTTATAGGACGTTAGGCTATCATTTACCAGCATTCAGCAATGAAACAAAAACAACACACTACAGATCTTTGATTATATATTCAAAGCTACAGATATCGAATTGAAATTAAAACAGATTTGTAATCCAAACTTTTGTTTACCTAAGTAGGTAGAGTAACAGCGTACCAGTAAATGCAGAGTTCTATTGAATTGAAGCGATTTATTGATGACTTAAAATTTTATCGTGCGTTTTTTTACAATGATTTTATCCTTTGCATCCAAAGGAGCCATAAACAAATCGTTGGGAGCACCGGAACCACTGTGGCCGTTGAACTTAGAAAAGGTAAAACTAAAGTACCAAAAACCACAATATTATTTAATAAACACCACGGCAAAATATTCAATATAGTTCAATATAGATTTTAAACACAGTAGGGGAAGGGAGGGTAAGATGGCGATGGTAACGATTATTAATTTTTTTAACGGAAGATATTCATTCAAATATCTTCAAATTTAGCATGTAACATCACCGATGTATTACCTCACTGTGGTAATTTTCTTGTCTATATAAATTTATAGTTTTTTGAAATACGAATTTTTACCTTAACACATGTTCATTTCGTCATCTTACCCTCAATTAGGGGTAAGATGACTTTGTAAGAGGGGTAAGATGGCGAACAATAAAACTTTCAATAAATAAGTTTATTAATATGTTAGGTATGCGCATTAAGTCATTAACATTAGTCCTTATAAGCAAAAGTCGCAAACATATGCTGTTTTTTTTTATTCTGCTGAGCTTAGACCAGTGCACTCGGCATGACTCCACTTGTGACATATTGAACAAGCATACCAAGTCACCGTTTTGCCAATGTCATTGCATATCACACACACCTCTTCATCTGGTAAGTCCAGATCATCATCCTCTTCATCGTATTCAATTGAAACAGACGACTCCGATGATGAATCGCGTTGAGGATATATATTTTTTTTATTTTCTTTACCTTTCCGTCTTTGCAATGCTCTCTTTCTATTCTTGCTTTTTTTAATTTGACTCCTGCTTCTTTTTTTCTTTTGCTTGTTTATCTTTTTCCCTTTTCTCCAACTCTCTTTTCACCGGAGTACTTGATATGTGTAGCGAAGGCAATTTTGCCCTTTGTTTTCTAACTTTCGGTGCAGCACTTGGCATGGGTGGTAAACCTATCGGTTCTTTTGTAGGGGTTCTTTCCCATACACGAGGAGTGTCCGTTTCTTCGCTAATAATACGAGAAGGTCCAGCTACAGGGCTAATGGCTCGAACAGGAGAAGAAGCTTCCTTGGTTCTCAACCTTGGCATTGAACTGTTAGTGGGCGGACATAACGGAGCGCCGACCATCGCTCCGACCATAGCATAGCACCATAGCATCGATCACAAAAAAAAACATTCAGTGCTTTTAAATGTTAGCGGTCATATTGGCGCCTCGACCCCCGCTCCGCTCATAGGTCTGAGCCAGGCCCTGGTACCATGGAATTGAGCTTAGTATTTTTTCGACCGTCGACCATCGCTCACGCAATGGTAGATAAAGAAAAATTAATCGGGCTTGTATTTGTCCGAGAGGCTATATGGAACAAAAAAAATAAATATCATCACAATTGCGTAATTTTAAATAAATTGTGGAAGGAAGTTGCAGAGGGGTGTGGTGTACCAGGTAAGTAATTATATTATAGCTGTTTTACTTAATATTTATTAGTTGTTTTGCATAAAATAAGTTTGAAAACCATCTCGTACAGCTTTTGCTTCGTCATTAAACCTTCCACCGATGTTTCGTTGGTTAGGCACATGGTTGTAAATTTGAAATTCCTGTAGGTTGTGTTCCATGCCCTCCATATCAATGATTACATTATGTAATATACAGATTGCTTTTATAATTTTGTCCGCTATCTTGACATCAGTCAGAATTGGTTTATCCAAAATTTGCCATTTAGCTCGCAATATACCAAAGGCACATTCTACCGTACGCCTTGCACGAGATAGACGTTTATTAAACATTTCTTTTCCAGGATTTAAATCTTGCTTGCTATAGGGTTTAAGCAAATTTTTCATTAATGGGTAAGCTTCATCAGCGATTATAACATACGGCAGTTTTAAATTCGAATTAGGAAGTTTACTGCTTTTTGGAATATTCAGAGTGCCTTGTACCATTTTTTTGTATAATAGAGAAGCCTTAAATGTACCGCCATCGCTTTGCTTTCCGTAACCTCCAACGTCAATGTTGATAAATCTATAATTTGCGTCTACTAATGCTTGAAGGACAATTGAAAAATATCCCTTGTAATTAAAAAACATTGAACCAGAGTCTCTAGGGCATCGTAAACGGATGTGTTTCCCATCTAGAGCTCCTAAACAATTTGGGAAATTCCAAATATTGTAAAAATCGTTAGCGATGTTTTTAAAATTCTCTTGCGAGGGAACGGGCATATGTTTCTCATAAAGGACGTCCCATAAACGTTGTGTAACTTCTATTACAATTTTTCTAACCGTACTTTTCCCCATTCGGAATGAAAAGGCTAAACTTCTGAAGGACAATCCGGTGGAAAAAAATCTAAAAAAGATGTAAGGTGTTAGAAGGTTAGGAACATATTTTTTAGTTTTTATAAGATTTCATGTATTAAACAATAAAACCCCGTTATGTTATCTTTTCAGCGACATCCGCAAAAGCTCAGTGGAAAAGGCTTCGACAAACGTTCATAAAAAAGCTATCAGAGCAACCCGTTAAAAGGTCTGGTGATGGAGTGGAGGACGACACTGAAACGTCTGATTGGCCATTTTTCAAGTCCTTATTATTTTTAAAAGATTCTTGTGCGCCTAGGAAAACGGAAGGCAATTTTAGTAACGAAGAAGATCAAAGTGGAGAGGATACTGGCGATGAAAGTTCATCCCAAGCTCCATCGTCCGTCACCGAGTCAGTTCCTTTATCTACACCAGCGTCGCCAAGAAGTTCGCCAACACCAGTAACGAAAAAAGTTAAAACCCAAAGGTCTAGCAAAAAGGACCACATTGGTGAAGCCTTAATTATAGCCGAACGAGAGAAAATTGAATATCTAAAAAGGAGAGAAGAGAATAGAAAAAGTAAAGAGGCAATGATTGAATTAAATTCAGTAAGAAAAGAGCTAGATGAGGACGAATCTTTTTTTAAAAGCATTTTGCCACACGTACGACAGTTTTCTCCAAAAAGAAAAATGCAATTTCGTATTAAAGTACTTCAACTAGTACATGATTCAATTGAAGCAAATCCACCTAGGGACGAACCGCACATAACAGAACTAGTTCCACAAAATCAACCTTCATCATCAAATCCAAAGCACTCCTCGTTAAGTATTCCTTCAGAAATGTTTTTTAGTGATCTTAGAGAAGAACAGAACCAGAATGCCTACCTTAATAATATGTATCCTACTCAATTTTAGATAAGTGTACTTTGTATTTTTTTAATAAATAAACTTTTTGTATATGTACTTACCTCAAGGTTAGCATCAGTTGTTCTTCCGTTCCTATTGGCTGAGAGTGGCAATTTTGGTATGATTTTTCTAAGCTATCTCCAAATTTACTTAAAATATAATCGAATGTACTAATTGCCATTCTCATATATTCAAAAAAACGAGCTGAATCATTTCTTAAATCTCTATAGAGATGATGGAATTCACCATACCGAAAACGCTTCTTATTTAAAGGATGAACCCTTCTTTTTTGGGATTTTTTATATATGTACCACGTTTTAGCACTTGACTCTGGTAAAACGTCATCATCATCAGACGAAGATATTAACACATCCATGTTTATGACGCTCATTTTAACGCTTTAAACTGAAATGCAAATGTCGAGATCGAGGCCTCAATGTGACCACCTAAGCGCTATGGTCGGAGCGAAGGTCCCAGGTACCATGCTTTGGTCGGAGCAATGCTCCTGTGCGAGGGTCCTCGTTATGTCCGTACCCTTATCGATCACATTTTGGCATGGTTCATTTTCTTCTTGTCCTTTCGCAATTTTAGCAGTTTCTTCGCGTACTTGTGCATGTTTAGTAGACGGATCTGGTCTTTCTGTGACAAGGGAGGGCTCAAAATCACTGTCATTAAATACCATGGGAGTTCAGTGGAACTAGTCCTGTGGATTTAAAGGCTCTCTCAGCATTACGAGTTGTAGCTACTGTGCTGTAGGCCACGTTGAATATACCAGCAACATCTTTAATTCCAATGGTTTGTCCTGGATGTTCCATCAAAAAATCATTGCAGGCACGACTGTATGCTGTTTTGAACGGACCTTAGAAACCAACATCAAGTGGCTGCATACGATGGCTTGTATGTGGCGGAAATCCTAGGATAGTTGTGCCGTATTTCGATATCAAAAAGGAAATGAACAATAAAACTGTTCTGATATCGAAGAAAAAATAATGTACACACATGCACCGGCTAACTTTCTTTATTTAATTGCTGTTAACTTGCTACTCGTAAGTTTAATTAGGCTACTTGCGGTTGTTAGTGGCTGGTCTTCTTCCTGTTGGTCCGGCTCTGGGTGGATGGTTAGGTAAAACGTCCTTGATTTGCACTGGCGAGGCGATTGGTCTGGATGCTCGGTATATTACGATGAGGTAGTTATAACAATTAACAATAACCAGAACAAAGAAGCTAAAATATTACCATAATTAATTATTGAAATAAAATGAAAATGAACTTACGGTTTCAAACCCTTCTTTGCCAAAAAAATAGCTCAAAAGCTGAATTTTTAAATTATAAAAAAAAGACTGAACAAACGGTCTATAAATGTTTGATATCTGGAGAGCGCCTGAATAGGACTTTTCTTTCCGCTCTCTTCAAATCGATTCTATGCATTGGGAAATCCCCGCGCCAAAAGCTCGATAAATTCAATCTTTACAAACATAGGCGTAACATTACGTTTTAATAAATTTCCTAAAATTGTTACATAGTAATGTAATTTTCGCGGCACATGTTTACAGCCTGCAATGTTACGTGTGACGAATGATTGTCCATGAGTAGGAGGATTTGGTTAGAATTGCTCGGCCTAACATGTTTTACAAAATGTTCTAACCATTGGACAAAAGTTTCAGATTTCATCCAGCCTGACTGATTGCAAGCGACTCCTGATCCAGTTGGGGCGTTAGCCAAAAAGTGCGACTGCATACGTACACGTGGATAAATAAAGAAAGGGGGCACGTAGTGGCCGGTTGCATTGAAGCAGCACGCAACACTGACGTTCACGCCCCGTTCGCCCGAAGGGACTTTTACAACTCGGCGGTTACCAGTTGGGCTCAGTACATTTGGTGTCTTGGTGGGTACTGTTGAGCAACTAGTTTCATCTATGTTGTAGATCTGTTGAGGTTCAAATTTCTTGTTTGCAAGGATTTCTTTATAGAGATCGAAGAATGATTCGACGTTATTTTTGTTAAAGGCAGCCAACCTGGCAGCAGATGTTGCTTCAGGTTTACGTAGTGAAAAATTAAATTTTGTCATGAAGGCTTGAACAAAATCTTTTCCTGCCTTTTCTTATCTTTATTGAATCTATGTGGAATGTTAAGTGATTCCGCATAATCGAAAGCAATTCGGGCAAACTGTTCCCTAGTAACTCCAAAAGCTCTTCTATCTACATCCTCAACGTATTTTTTAAGATTCAGGAATTGATCTTCAGAAAATGTGGTTTTAAATCGTCCAGCACTTGTAGGGAAATTCTAAAAAAACAACATTTTTACTTAGTTGAGAGAATTATAATTAATTACCTATAAGACCTACGTTATTGGGATAGTTTTTGGCATAACGTCTTAAAGTCGCTTCCGGTATGTTAAACCTCTTTGCCGTGGCATTTACTGAATCTCCCTGCTTTACTTTGTTTAAAGCTTCAATCATACATTCGCGAGACCATCCCTGTCTATTTGTTTTCCTGTGATAGGTTTTGCCCATTATCGGTATTTTTGCAACACTATTTAAAAAAAAACATAGGTAATAGGTATACATTTTACGAAAAAACAAACAAATTCAATTTTTTGGCAATGAGGATAAGATGACGAACATTTCGGGTAAAATGACGAATTCGTCATCTTAGCCGTATTGTTTATTCGTCATCTTATCCGATGGGTTGCTTTTTCAGTTATGTCAAAATATATTTGCAATGAACATTAAGAGCGAATTGCGTCATCACTCAACGATATCAGAACACCAAATTCTGCCATTAAAAAAATCTTACAGATATAAGAACTTACCGTTTTCAATTTATACACTATTTAAGTGAATGAAAATATTACAACAACTGCACGAGTTTTTTAAGTAACTGGCATGGCTGACTTGTGAAGCACCAAACATGCGCGCTGTTACCACGGGGGTGGGAGGTATCCTAATAGCGCGTTGTAGAAATCGGCGATATCTGGTGGTTGAGCCTTTCAACAAACGATTCGTCATCTTACCCGACTAGCCATCTTACCCTCCCTTCCCCTATATCAGAAATCATTGGACGTAAATCTTTTGATAGCTATAGGTATCACTGAACAGATGCTAAAGGATTCGCTAAATATTTCAAATTGATAAAACACGTTCGTTGCAATAGGATTATACTGCAGGCAGACTACTTATCAATTACACTAAGAAAAGGGGTTAAATACAATAAATTAGAAAATGTCTATACGCAAAATGTATTGAATTGTTTAACAAAAATGCCGCATCTACAATGTGCTTACTACAAATGCCGTATCTGCTTTGTAGGTAGATACCGCGTTTTTATTCGCTAGCGCATTTTTACAAAGTACGTTCATTCATATGTTCACATCGTTTACCGCATTCGTTGTGGATATTGGGAAACGCCCCAAGAAGACATACATAATCCTAATTAGGGTAAATGTGTACAAGAGTGCGCACTTAGTGAATTAAACATTACTGCTTTTTTATTTTTGGAGATGTCTAGTACGTTTTAGTGTTAGCATGTAATATACTCACTTTAGAGCAAAAACCAATTGCCTTTTTTTGTTTAAACTACAATTTGGCTTATTATAACATTAATTGTGACTATATGTTAATGCGCACTCTTGAACGGGCGCCCGTTCAAGAGTGCGCACCTGAATGCATAAGAGTACGCACTCTATTCGCAATGCTCTTTAGTAGGGTGTTGAATGGTAAAGTAAAATAAAAAAACGTAGTTCTTTTTGTGAAGCTTTATTTAAAGTAGTTGCAATTAACTGTCACATGCAAAACAGGTAAAAACGCCTATAACATAAGTTGTACAGGCTTCATGCCACCAATTAGAACATTTTGAACACATTATCCAATCTTCGGTTAGTGGTTCCGTGAAAGTCTCTCCGCAACCTGGACAATCAGTTTTTTCTTCAGTGGTCTTTGTCGCCTTTTTCTTTTTCTTTGTCAAAAGTTTCGTGTTAGATAAATTTCTTTTTGTTTGTTTTACTTTTTTCTGGTCTTCTTTGGCTTGTCTTTGTTTTACTATTTCTTCCAGCTCGGATTTGAATGGAGTGCTAGACAATATTTCCGATCTTTGACTTTTGCTTTTGCGACGATTTTGTTCGTGTTGTATTGATGGCAAAGGTAAAATATCGGATATTTTTACTGCAGTTACAAGAGATGTATTATTGTTTTTGGGGGATTCGGTGACTGTAAAGGTGCTGGGTATTAAAGTACCGTCTTCGCAAACGATGTCCAGATCCGTAATGTCAGTGAGCATATCTTTTGAAGTAGAAAGCACATCTCTAGAAGAGCATGGGGGTGGCATATCTTCTGAAGTAGGAACCACATCTCGAGAACAGCATGGGGGTGGTGTATTAAAAACAGGGTTATCATTGTCCTTTGAATTGCATGGCGGTGGTGTGACATGGCCGGGAAAATTTATTTCTAATTCCGCCTCCTCGTCTTGTCGTTGAGGTAATGGTATCTCCGTCACTAAAGATGGAGCAAAATCAATATCGTCAAATTGTAAAGGGTTATACGGATAAATTCCTGCGGATTTAAATGAATTTTGGGCTTTGAGCAAATTTGCTACCCTGGAATAAGCCGCATTGAACAAGCCTGCAACCTGCATTTGAGTAATCACTTTTCCTGGGTTCGAAACCATCCAATTATCGCATTCGTTGGTGTAAGCGGTCTTTAATGGACCAAAAAAACCAACATCTAGGGGCTGCAGCCTGTGACTCGCATGTGGGGGAAGAGACAGTAAATCAATATGATTTTCTTTGCAATAGTGGATCACTTGCAAATCGCGATGCGAGCTGTGATTGTCTAGTACTAACAGTACAGGGCTCTCTTTTGTAGGGTTCGTGGCAGTTTTGAAATGTTTTATCCATTTATAAAATAAATCTGTGTTAATAAATCCTGAGTCAGATATTAATTTTAGTGTCCCGGGTGGTGCATTCAAATAAAGTTCATCTTTTAACCTTTTTCTGGGAAATATTAGAGCCGGAGGAACGTAAATCCCAGAGGCACTTACACAACAAACGGCAGTGATTAGTTGTCCACGCTCTCCGCTGGATACTTTACTCACAAGTTTTTTACCCTTCGTTGTTAGCACCTTCGGTAATTTGTTTGGGACGGTGGAAAGCCCCGTCTCATCCATATTAAATATACGCTCTGGTATATATTTTCTCTTTTCATACAATTCTTTTAAGTTATCAAAAAATCGTTGCACCTGTGTTTTATTGAAGCCCATAACCCGACCCATTGAGCACTTTTCCGGCTGTCTTAAAGTAATATTATGTCGTTGACAAAATCCAACAATCCATGTTTCACCGGCCATCTGTTTGACTTTATTAAAAGTGTTTGGTACATTATTTAAAACAGCAAACTTGTAGGTCGCAATTTGCAATCCTTTTTTTGTTAGTCCATAAAACATTTTATCTAAGTCTCTCACCTGTTGAGCTAGTTCTTGTTCTTCTTCTTTTGAAAAAATAGTTTTATAACGCCCCAATGACGTTGGAACAGTTCCGCTCTTCAGTCTTTTTCTTAAAGTTGATTCCGCTATACCCATTTCTAACGCTACTCTTCTTTTACTCGTACCCTCCGAAATTTTTCGTTTTGCCTCTGCCAAATTTTCTTCCGTAAAAATAAGTTTTCTATCACTTTTTCTCTTATATCTGCTCATTTTTATGTCGAATGGTTTTTGACTGCACTATAAATAACAAAAAATAAAAGCAAATTAAATATACTGTACAAGAGTACGCAGTGCGCGCTCTTGTAAAAACCACACTGCGCACTCTTGTACGGTCGTACATATTTTCCTAATGATACGAATATTTCTTTTATTTTTTAATTGAATGCAACTGCTTATTGTTAGAAATTCGTCTAAAACTACATACTTTTGCTTAGCAGTAAAAGAAATACATAATTTCGTTACTTACCCAATAAATCACTAGAAATTCAACTACTGAAAGTTACACGTGCTACCCATCAAATTTTGATTTGCAAACTGTGACTAAGCGAGGTTATGAAGTTGCATGCAGTTTATGTTTTCTGCATTAGGTTTCGCGCCTTTTCATTCCTAGTTGTGCAGAATACTACAGAGATGGCCGTAACATGCAATTTTAGAAGTGCGCACTCTTATGTAGGTGCGCGCTCTTGTACACATTTACCCTATGTAGACA